GTCAAACTGATGCAGTTTGTAGAAACTGATGTTACCTTCAAAAAAATCACTGCTCACAACAGTTCAACAGTTAACAAACACAATGAGTTGAGATCAGATAAACAAGATGTAAGATGCTAATTAGCGGGCTTTAACAGCACTGCTATGGTGAGAAGAAATTCAACGTACTTTTCTGAAGCTCTGTTTAAAGTTGTCTGATAGGAAACCATAGAGAAACGGATTGGCACATGAGTTGGCATAAGACAAGATGACAGCAAAGAAGTAGATGCCAGCAGTGGCACTGGACTCCGGGATGATGACCACCAGATTGACCATATTGATGATGAAGAACGGCAGCCAGCAGAGCACAAACACCACCACAATCACCACCACCATTCGGGTCACTTTGCGCTCTGAGCGTCGGCGTTTAGAGAAACCAACCCGTGCCCCAGAGGACTTCACCTGCAAAATAACAATAAAAAGATTTGAATTATAATGACGAGGATGGAAATCGTGCCTTTCTGTTGACTGAGAAAAGAATATCAACTTAAAAATGTGCTTTTTAATGAGCTTCATGAAATATCTACCTTGATGACAATAAGAAGGTAACAGAGGCAAATGATGAGCAGTGGTCCAAAGAAACCCACTGTGGCAGTGTAGAGAATGAAGGCTGTTGACCACACATCCTTCGGCTCTGGCCAGATCATGTTGCAGGAGTTAAATGTATCCTAAAGAAAAATGAATATTGAACAAATAAAGTAAATTCAGAATTGAATCGGAATCTGTCAGACAGTCAACAACAAAATCTGGAAGTTAATCCACTGCTTTCCATCACATCCCTTAATTTTAAATGTCAATCATCATCTTCATCTTCATCCTCCTCCTCCTTTAGGGGTCACTACAGCAAATCACCTGCCCACATTTCACCTTATTCCTCTCACATTCTCTTCTGCTACACCAACCCTCTGCACGTTCTCCTTCACTATATCCATGAATCTTGTCTTTTAGTCTTCCTCTTTTCTTCCTGCATGACTGCTGCCTGTTTAACATCCTTTGTCCGATATATCCACTATCCCTCCTTTGCACATACCAAGCCATTTCAGCTTTGTCTGTCTTTGAGCTTAACAATGTCTGCTCGTTTAAATTGTTGTTGCAGAAACACTTTTCTTTTTCATAAACTTTACACAAGTGCATCTTTGCAAATACACTTGTATTCATGTCTGTGGAATAAACAGCTTCCATGTCAGCTGGCATTTTGATAGTGTTTTATTTCACATTGTATCATCAAATGAAGTCACTTTTGACTGCCAATTTCCAGCACTTAGACCTAGCATCACACTTTCGGTGTGGTGGTACCACTTGACTAGCATTTGACTTAGCTGTCTTGACTCACTGGATACTTTACCAGACCATAAACAAATGTTCTTTGTGCCTTCAGTTAATATTGATTGAAGTAGGAAAAGATTTTCTCGGAAAGGAGGTTAAGTTGGCACGT